AGGAACAATAACAGAGGGGTAACTAGTGTATAAATCAACAGGAACAACAGAAGAGGGGTAACCAGTGTATAAGTCAACAGGAACAATAACAGAGGGGTAACTAGTGTATAAGTCAACAGGAACAATAACAGAGGGGTAACTAGTGTATAAGTCAACAGGAACAATAACAGAGGGGTAACTAGTGTATAAATCAACAGGAACAACAAAAACAGAGAGGTAACTAGTGTATAAGTCAACAGGAACAACAACAGAGGGGTAACTAGTGTGTAAGTCAACAGGAACAACAACAGAGGGGTAACTAGTGTATAAGTCAACAAGAACAACAACAACAGATGGGTAACTAGTGTATAAGTCAACAAGAACAACAACAACAGATGGGTAACTAGTGTATAAGTCAACAAGAACAACAACAGAGGGGTAACTAGTGTATAAGTCAACAAGAACAACAACAGTGGGATAACTAGTGTATAAGTCAACAAGAACAACAACAGAGGGGTAACTAGTGTATAAGTCAACAAGAACAACAACAACAGTGGGGTAACTAGTGTATAAGTCAACAAGAACAACAACAGAGGGGTAACTAGTGTATAAGTCAACAAGAACAACAACAAACAGAGGGGTAACTAGTGTATAAGTCAACAGAACAACAACAACAGAGGGTAACTAGTGTATAAGTCAACAGAACAATAACAGAGGGGTAACTAGTGTATAAGTCAACAGGAACAATAACAGAGGGGTAACTAGTGTATAAGTCAACAGGAACAACAACAGAGGGGTAACTAGTGTATAAGTCAACAAGAACAACAACAACAGAGGGGTAACTAGTGTATAAGTCAACAACAACAACAACAACAGAGGGGTAACTAGTGTATAAGTCAACAAGAACAACAACAACAGAGGGGTAACTAGTGTATAAGTCAACAAGAACAACAACAACAGAGGGGTAACTAGTGTATAAAGTCAACAAGAACAACAACAACAGAGAGGTAACTAGTGTATAAGTCAACAAGAACAACAACAGAGGGGTAACTAGTGTATAAGTCAACAAGAAGAACAACAACAGAGGGGTAACTAGTGTATAAGTCAACAAGAAGAACAACAACAGAGGGGTAACTAGTGTATAAGTCAACAAGAAGAACAACAACAGAGGGGTAACTAGTGTATAAGTCAACAAGAAGAACAACAACAGAGGGGTAACTAGTGTATAAGTCAACAAGAAGAACAACAACAGAGGGGTAACTAGTGTATAAGTCAACAAGAAGAACAACAACAGAGGGGTAACTAGTGTATAAGTCAACAGGAACAACAACAACAGAGGAGTAACTTACATAAACAGCAACTAAAAGTTCCATTAATAGCGTGACAAATATCACACTGACATTTCAAGCTTCCGACCTCTGAGAGTCAACAGGGATTCTCTGTTGGGACTGAGAGGCACTGAGTGTTGCTGTCCAGTGCCACTGATAGTGCCTACATGGGTGCCAGAAACCATAAATTTTACGAATTTTAATTTTTTGTGCTGTTAATTTTCTAACTAAAGTTGCTTCTAGTACTTGCATGGTATAATAAAATAATAATAATAATAATAATAATAATAATAATAATAATAATAATGTGGCAGTAATAATAATAATAATAATAATAATAATAATAATAATAATAATAATAAATAATAATAATAATGATAATGATAATGATGATGTGCCAGTAATGATAATAATAATAATAATAATAATAATAATAATGATAATAATAATAATAATAAATAATAATAATAATAATAATAATAATAATAATAATAATAATAATAATAATGTGGCAGTAATAATAATAATAATAATAATAATAATAATAATAATAATAATAATAATAATAATAATAATAATAATAAAAATTATTATTATTATTATTATTATTATTATTATTATTATTATTATTATTATTATTGTTATCCTATTTCGGCTAACTTGCAGGCTCAGATATGTTCTCCTACCCCAGGATGCTACCCATAACAGTTGGTTAACACCCGAACACCTAGTTATTGTTAGGTGAATAGGGGCAATAGGTTAATGACGTGCCCAAGCGTCTCCACCCTCCCCAGGATTGAACCTGGGAGTTTCGGTTCACATTCACCTATGAGTCTTTCAGCGTCATCATTCAAGTTTGGAGTGACTTATAGTAACTTTTCTGTGGTGTGTGTACTCACCTAATTGTGGTTGCAGGGGTCGAGTCACAGCTCCTGGCCGCCCTCTTCACTGTGCGTGTGTGTGTGTGTGTGTGTGTGTATGTAGTGCTTTCCATCCAAGTAGGGTGTTCAAAAGAAGAACCACATTCACCATGATTCGTTCTCTTGCTGTTTTTCCATGAAGGGATTGACAGTCGTTGATGGTGCACCAAGTGGTAATGTTCTTACCACCACTTCTAAAACTCTCTCCTAGGTAAGACTTAGCTTCTGGGAAGGACTCACACCTTACTCAGCGTCTCTGTCGTAGGACTCACACCTTACTCAGCGTCTCTGTCGTAGGACTCACCCCTTACTAAGCGTCTCTGAGGTAGGATTCACACCTTACTCAGCGTCTCTGTCGCAGGACTCACACCTTACTCAGCGTCTCTGTCGTAGGACTCACCCCTTACTAAGCGTGTCTGGGGTTAGGATTCACCCCTTTAAACTCAGCGTCTCTGTCGTAGGACTCACACCTTACTCAGCGTCTCTGTCGTAGGACTCACCCCTTACTAAGCGTCTCTGTCGTAGGACTCACCCCTTACTAAGCGTCTCTGAGGTAGGACTCACACCTTACTCAGCGTCTCTGTCGTAGGACTCACCCCTTACTAAGCGTCTCTGTCGTAGGACTCACACCTTACTCAGCGTCTCTGTCGTAGGACTCACACCTTACTCAGCGTCTCTGGCGTAGGACTCACCCCTTACTAAGCGTCTCTGTCGTAGGACTCACCCCTTACTAAGCGTCTCTGTCGAAGGACTCACCCCTTACTAAGCGTCTCTGTCGTAGGGACCCCACCCCTTACTAAGCGCCCTCTGTCGTGGACTCCCCCTTACTAAGCGTCTTGGCGTAGGACTCACCCCTTACTAAGCGTCTCTGTCGTAGGACTCACCCCTTACTAAGCGTCTCTGTCGAAGGACTCACCCCTTACTAAGCGTCTCTGTCGAAGGACTCACCCCTTACTAAGCGTCTCTGTCGAAGGACTCACCCCTTACTAAGCGTCTCTGTCGAAGGACTCACCCCTTACTAAGCGTCTCTGTCGAAGGAGTACTCAGTGACTAGTGGAACAACACAGGATGACTGGCAAGATATCCAGTCATACAGTGACGGGATATTGCCAAACATGGGTCATCCCTTCCTCACATCCTACCCAGGGGTGTGTGTGTGTGTTGTACCTATCCTTAAAGCTAAGTACGACATTTCCTTTCAGCACCACCACCTCAACCCAATAGTTCGTCTTACCAACGACCCTTAACTCCTGCACTTCTAACCAGAAATCTTCCTTAATTACCAAATCCTTCTGTTACCCTATTGTGACCTACATACGTCTTGCACAGAGGAATTACCGACAAGTTGACAAGACTTAGGTACAACAGTTGGGTATCTCTCATGGGATTGTCTACCACTGACTGATACAAACCATACCACGGGTGGGAATAGAACTCGCGATCAGAGAACGTATTAACTATGGATGAACGTTATCAACAATGGGTGAGACGACCACAGGCAAGTCTGAACAAGACTTGTGAGTCAGACGTTCAATCTTGAAAGGTGCTGTTCCTTACATTCATATACTAATAATAATAATAATAATAATAATAATAATTTGACTGTTGAGAGTTTGAGAGCCGCTAACGGTGAGAGGGCGGTGAGAGCGATTAACTAACGGATGCGTTAGTTCTGTTAAATGTTTGTTAAGGGGAGAGAGGAAGCTTGTCCAACTGTGGGAGATGAGTTATGTGCAAGTTCACTGCTTGTTTCAGTACCTCAGTGGCAAGGTCACTACCACTCTGATTACCACAGTGGTAAGGTCACTACCACCATGATTACCACAGTGGTAAGGTCACTACCACCATGATTACCACAGTGGTAAGGTCACTACCACCATGATTACCACAGTGGTAAGGTTTTCATCACCCTGATTACCTCAGTGGCAAGGTCACTGCCACTCTGATTACTACAGTGGTAAGGTCACTACCACCATGATTACCACAGTGGTAAGGTCATCATCACCCTGATTACCTCAGTGGCAAGGTCACTACCACTCTGATTACCACAGTGGTAAGGTCACTACCACCATGATTACCACAGTGGCAAGGTCACTACCACCATGATTACCACAGTGGTAAGGTCACTACCACCATGATTACCACAGTGGTAAGGTCATCATCACCCTGATTACCTCAGTGGCAAGGTCACTGCCACTCTGATTACTACAGTGGTAAGGTCACTACCACCATGATTACCCCAGGGGAAGGTCATCATCACCCTGATTACCTCAGTGGCAAGGTCACTACCACTCTGATTACCACAGTGGTAAGGTCACTACCACCATGATTACCACAGTGGTAAGGTCATCATCACCCTGATTACCTCAGTGGCAAGGTCACTACCACTCTGATTACCACAGTGGTAAGGTCACTACCACCCTGATTACCACAGTGGTAAGGTCATCATCACCCTGATTACCTCGTGGAAGGTCACTAAACCCCTCTGATTACCACAGTGGTAAGGTTACTACCACCATGATTACCACAGTGGTAAGGTCATCATCACCCTGATTACCTCAGTGGCAAGGTCACTACCACTCTGATTACCACAGTGGTAAGGTTACTACCCCCATGATTTCCAAAAGTGGTTAAGGTCATCATCACCCTGATTACCTCAGTGGCAAGGTCACTACCACTCTGATTACCACAGTGGTAAGGTCACTACCACCCTGATTACCGCAGTGGTAAGGTCATCATCACCCTGATTACCACAGAGGTAAGGTCACTACCACTCTGATTACCACAATGGTAAGGTCACAACCACCTTGATTACCACAATGGTAAGGTCACAACCACCTTGATTACCACTGTGGTAAGGTCACAACCACCTTGATTACCACAGTGGTAAGGTCACCACCACCTTGATCACCACAATGGTAAGGTCACAACCACCTTGATCACCACAATGGTAAGGTCACAACCACCTTGATCACCACAATGGTAAGGTCACAACCACCTTGATCACCACAACGGTAAGGTCACCACAATGGTAAGGTCACCACAATGGTAAGGTCACAACCACCTTGATCACCACAACGGTAAGGTCACCACAACGGTAAGGTCACCACAATGGTAAGGTCACCACAACGGTAAGGTCACCACAACGGTAAGGTCACCACAACGGTAAGGTCACCACAATGGTAAGGTCACCACAATGGTAAGGTCACAAAACGGTAAGGTCACCACAATGGTAAGGTCACCACAACGGTAAGGTCACCACAATGGTAAGGTCACCACAAAGGTAAGGTCACCACAACGGTAAGGTCACCACAACGGTAAGGTCACCACAACGGTTAAAGGGCACCCCAATGGTAAGGTCACCCCAATGGTAAAGTCAACCACAACGGTAAAGTCACCACGACGGTAGGTCACCACAACGGTTTAAGGTCACCACAATGGTAAGGTCACCACAATGGTAAGGTCACCACAACGGTAAGGTCACCACAATGGTAAGGTCATCACAATGGTAAGGTCACCACAACGGTAAGGTCACCACAACGGTAAGGTCACCACAACGGTAAGGTCACCACAATGGTAAGGTCACCACAGCGGTAAGGTCACCACAACGGTAAGATCACCACAACGGTAAGGTCACCACAACGGTAAGGTCACCACAATGGTAAGGTCACCACAACGGTAAGGTCACCACAACGGTAAGGTCACCACTATGGTAAGGTCACCACAACGGTAAGGTCACCACAACGGTAAGGTCACCACAACGGTAAGGTCACCACAACGGTAAGGTCACCACAATGGTAAGGTCACCACAGCGGTAAGGTCACCACAACGGTAAGGTCACCACAACGGTAAGGTCACCACAACGGTAAGGTCACCACAACGGTAAGGTCACCACAACGGTAAGGTCACCACAACGGTAAGGTCACCACAGCGGTAAGGTCACCACAACGGTAAGGTCACCACAGCGGTAAGGTCACCACAGCGGTAAGGTCACCACAGCGGTAAGGTCACCACAGCGGTAAAGGTCACCACAACGGTAAAGGGCACCACAGCGGTAAGGTCACCACGCGGTAAGGTCACCACAACGGTAAGGTTTACAACAGCGGTAAGGTCACCACAGCGGTAAGGTCACCACAGCGGTAAGGTCACCACAGCGGTTTAAAGGGCACCCCAGCGGTAAGGTCACCACAGCGGTAAGGTCACCACAACGGTAAGGTCACCACAACGGTAAAGGGCACCACAATGGTAAAGGGCACCACAACGGTAAGGTCACCACAACGGTAAGGTCACCACAATGGTAAGGTCACCACAGCGGTAAGGTACCACAACGGGAAGGTCACCACAACGGTAAGGTTTACCACACGGTAAGGTCACCACAACGGTAAGGTCACCACAAAGGTAAGGTCACCACAGCGGTAAGGTCACCCCAACGGTAAGGTCACCACAACGGTAAGGTCACCACGCGGTAAGGTCACCACAACGGTAAGGTCACCACAGCGGTAAGGTCACCACAACGGTAAGGTCACCACAACGGTAAGGTCACCACAGCGGTAAGGTCACCACAGCGGTAAGGTCACCACAACGGTAAGGTCACCACAACGGTAAGGTCACCACAACGGTAAGGTCACCACAACGGTTTAAAGGGCACCACAACGGGAAGGTCACCACAACGGTAAGGTCACCACAACGGTAAGGTCACCACAGCGGTAAGGTCACCAACACCTTCAGCACCTTGACAAGTGACCCAACAAATTCTTGTTTAATTTCATTGGTGAGGGGAGAAGAGCTAAACCCGCAGGGACCTGGAGAATTTGAAGCATTCACCTCTGATCCAGAAAAGGGAAAGGACAAGTCCAGTTCCTTGGATCAAGAGCTCTCTCACTAAGAATCCAATACCCACCACAACACCGTCAACTTCTTTAAGCCTGAAATCAACAATTCTCACGATATTTATTCTCTCTCTCTCTCTCTCTCTCTCTCTCTCTCTCTCTCTCTCTCTCTCTCTCTTTTCTCTTCTCTCTCTCTCTCTCTCTCTCTCTCTCTCTCTCTCTCTCTCTCTCTCTCTCTCTCTCTCTCTCTCCTTCTCTTTTCTCTCTCCTTTCCTCAGCCTTTTCTCTTGCTCTCCCTCCCTCCCGCTCACCACCGGGTCCTCCATTACTCCAAACTGGAGCATTTTGCCTCACGAAAGTAGCGTTTTGTCATACTTTACACGCTGAGGGAGGTGAGGAGCATTGTGGGGAGGAGCATTGTGGGAAGCAACATTGTGAGGAGCA